ACACACACACACACACACACACACACACACACACACACACACCACCATAATACACAAAAATAAAATAATAGCCTAAGAATGCTGTGTGAGAAGAAATCTGGATAGAGAAGCAAAAGGCTCTGAGCCACCATTCTGTACATGCTTGTAATAAGGACACTGACTGACCTGTGCAAGCATCCAACCAACTACAAACACCAGTTTCTTCCTTAGTAAAATGAGGAGCCTGATCTAGCCTTAGTTTAAAAAAATGTTAAAGAACTGTCATTCTAGTAGGCATGGTGGTACTGGAATATACTCCCAGTACATAGGAGGGTTCACGGAATCCAGAATTTGAGCCAGACTGGGATCTATGCAGAGAAAGAAAAGAAAGAGAACCTTTTAAGATATGTACGTTGGTTGTTTATAATAAGATACCTACACAACCTGGAATAAAACAAATAGGTAAATCACATACACACACACACACACAGAGGACGAATTCAAATGCAACTGTCACATCAGACCACAAACTCATGCACATGCTCAGGTGAGTTATATAACTCATAGAGCTCAAGAATGCTCTTGGTTTGGGTGTGTGGCTACAAAAACACATTGGTGCCCTCTAATGGCCACAAGTGGTAAACCCTAAACTTTGGAGGAACAGACAGTTACATATACTTTTGAAATGCTGCCAGAAAGACAGAAAGGAAGATGTTTTCCCCAAGTAAGAAGTGTATACAATTGTAGTTGTATGTGCCTTTGATTAGATTGCGAGTGACCTACGTGAAGTACAAGAGCATGGCCAAGTACGCCACCCTCTTAAGATAGATGACCAGATAGATAGAACAGATTGTCTGCAGAATGAAAAACATGACTGCAATCTATACAAGCACGCAGTAGTTAGGAAACCCAATACATAACAAGTTTTCAAGTAACCATATTTATTTTCAATTAATACACATAAAATGGGTTTCATTACGGGGTGTTCAGACTTCAGTTTTGTTGATTCTCTCCCCTGCCTCATGCCTATCCCCCTACCCATCACCTGCTGGTAAACGTCCTTGTCCCTCATGTCCTCCTTCTGTTTTCATATCATGTGCATTCTGTTACTTCCTTTTTCCCTTCTCTTTTCCCCCTCCCCAATACTCAAGACTTGTCCCCTCATTGATCCCCTTTCTAGTTTACACACACACACACACACACACACACACACACACACACATTAAAATCAAGGATCTGCCTATGAGAGATTGAACAAGCAGTTTTGAATTGATAAAGTAAAATGAAAACATTGTATGACAAACAAGCTAGTACACATGCAAGCAAAACACAAATGTTGAAATCAAAAGCATGAAGGAAAAGACTGATATCAATCATCAGTGAAAAAATGAGAATTAGCCTATCACCACTCTGTGCTTATAACTCATTAAACTGGGGGATAGGGAGGTTTTGCTCACTGCTTTTATCCAGACAGTGTGGGGCTGATATTTTGTTGTTTGTTGTTGCTATTGTGTTTCCTTGTTACGCTCACAATTAAAAATGGCAACTGCTAGTACCTAAAGAGACTGCTCAACAGTTAAGAGCAATTGCTGATCTTTAGGAGTACCTTAGTTATGTTGTCACACCTATGGGCAGTTTACAAGCCCCTGGAATTGCAGCTCCCTCTTCTGGCCTATGTGGGCACCTGCACATACATGCAAATATCTTTAGTAAAATTGTCCCTCCTAGTTACAGAGAACGTAATTTCAAAACCTAAATGCTCGATACTGTGTAATACAATGCTGAATTAAATTTAAGGGGGAAAACTGCCCCTCAGATCAGTACCATTTTAAGTAGAGAGAATGCAGAGGAAATAGACAGGAAGAAGGGAGTCACTATTTCCTTGTTTTAGATTCTTCCCAATCAAGTAAGATTTTTGTTTGCCTGGAATGGGTAGCACCTGTTGCCGGATGAATTACATTTTTTTTTAAATGTTGGAGTCCTGACTCCTCCCGGTCATTCAAAATGTGGCCTTTTGCAGAGCAGGAGTAGGGATATGACCTTTACAAAAGTAAACAAGTTAAAGTTATGTCCTTAGGGTAGCTTTGTAAAGTCCATCAACACTTTGGAAACAGATGCATTTTTTAGTAAGTTTTTTTATTTGAATTACAAATAAGATTGAATTACATGACAATCCCAGTTCCCTTCTCCCTCCCTTCCTCCTCTACCACTCTCCCCAAATAAAACCCTACCTATCACATATCCTTTCTTCTAATCTACACCTGACTCAACCTTTCTTCTCCATCATGACCTCTCCATTCTTCCTTTTCTTCCCTTCTCATTCTCATAGCTCCCTCCCCCATCTTCCCATGTTCTCAATTTGCTCAGGGGATAGTTACCCTTTCCCCTTCTCCAGGGGACAAAGTTTGTCTCTTTTAGGGTCCTCCTTGTTTACTAGTTTCTCTGGCAGTGTGGATTGTATGCTGGTAATCCCTTACTCTATGTCTAAAATCCACATATGAGTGAGTACATACCATATTTGTCTTTTTGTGATTGGGTTACCTCACTCAGAATGGTTTCTTCTAGTTCCATCCATTTT